TATTCTGATGGAATCATCAATTTTCCACTATTCTGCAATCTTTTTTAAAATTTGCGGCGCCATATACGTACTTCCGGTCAAACTATTTTTGGTAAGATCGGTCATCTTTAGTAACACGTAATATACGGACGAAACATCTTGGTGATCACAACCTCACAACCACATTTTCTTTCGTGGAAGATACCGTCGAGTGTACACGTCGAAACGAAATCTGAAATAATCGAGCGATTCTAGAGCGATCTAAAAGCCTTCAAGTCGTAAGATGAGAGCTAAGGTAAGCCGATTTTCGTAGTCGTCAATCATTATTATATTTTTCGCGTATATACAATTATTTTTATCGTTAAAAATACACAAGCGTCGAAGTATGGCAATACTCGGTTTGCGCATTTTTTTATCTTTGTATATCAACACGACGCTAATAAGTGCGAAAAAAAATGTTCTTCTTGCATTAATAAATTTATTGAAATTTATTGTGATTTTTATCGAATTTCTTTATAATTTCGCGTTTCATGAAATCATCCTAACCTCCAGCTAATAGCGTGTTTAATTTAGCGAGAAAAATATATAACGTAACATATTTAATGACAATCGAGAACGGAAAATGACATGATTAATGCATTAAATTTAATTATTATCAATTTTTATATATTATTATATTTAATTATTTTTTTTTAATATTTTATTTATTATCAATGTTATATATTATTATATTTAATATTATTATAATATTTTATTTTAATTTCAAGTTTAATATAAAGCAAATATTACACAGATGAAAAAATTCTTAATTAGTATTTTCTACAATCGAAATTTTTTTCTATTTCGATGGAATCATCGATAAATTTGTTAAGTAATTATATTGATTACCAAGTCTTAAGTAAAGACAAAAAAAAACTTACTTGATTAATGGCACATTAAATTTTATTATAACAAATAATAAATAAATGTTCAATCTGCAGTGGCGTAAGAAGAGAATGCGCAGGCTAAAGCGTAAGAGGAGGAAGATGCGTGCGAGGTCCAAGTAAAACAACTGCATATATACCTACATACACGTGGTCTCTGTAAGTGTAAACTTCATTCTACATTATAAAGAAACAATTTATATCTATTAAATTTATTCGTTGATTTCCTCCATTCTTATTTGCAAATGAATATTTCAGCCTTAGCAAGATCAGACCTGCGATACTTCCATCAAGAATTCCAGTTGCATCTTCAGTTGAAAATTTCAAAGAAGATACACTTCAGCGGATGCGTGTTTCGCACAGAGAACCATTTTATACATGTAAATCTTCTTGGTAAAATGCAGTGATTAATCAAGGTGAAGCACAGTTTTCTATGAGATTTGTCCTTCCCCTCCTGTCTTCCTACAATTGTAATTTCTTTAATTTTAAACAAAGTTAGATGTAAATACAAATTTATTGAATACAAGTATAATTCAGATTTGTGCATTTAACAAATTTTTTTTTACCAATGCATTGAAAATTATCTAATGCGAACAAATCTCGTTTATAAACAGATTAATGTATATATGAAAATTGGAAAGAATTTTATACAGAAGAAGTAATATCAGAAAGTTTTCTATAATCTTTATTCATATTACTTTTTTATAAATTATTGAAAGAATATACCAAAAAATTAACAATTATTTATATATTAGTATTTTATACATATAGATTTTATTTTTAATTATGTACACAATTATATAAATTAAATAATATTTAATAGTCGAGAGTAATTAAAATTAAACAAATATTTTAATTATGAGTATTTAATAGATTTTTTATATCAATTAATAATATATAATATTATTTATATAGATTTTATTTTTAATATATATATATATATATATATACAATTATATAATTAAATATAAAAATTTAATAATAAAGTAATGAAAATTAAACAAATATTTTAATTATGATATAATTATATTTTTTATATTATGATAAAATTTATGAATATAAACATTATTTTTATAAATATTATTTTATCAATATTGATAAACTTAAATATAACTTTTATCGCGATGTAAAAAATTGTATTTTCTATCTTCCAAAATGATTTCTCGTCGTCTGCGACCTAACCTCACTTTTTATTTGAGGTTAGGATTCCTCCGAGATGCGCACGTGTGTCTGAGGAATTTACTCGGGCGAGTATCGCGCGAATCCATCCGTACTAGAGTACAGACGTACTCGCAATTTCGAGAGACGAGACGATTTCGAATAAACCGGGAATCCCGGTGAGGACGATGCGTCAAAAAACGCAGACGATAATCTTGCGACCGCCATCGGCTCGAAATACAAGACCTTCCACGACGAAGACGCGGATGTTATTCTCGACGTGAGTGAGGAGCTGCAGAAGATCAGCCTCGAGGACATAAATCAGCAACAGGAAGATCATGATCCTTACGCCGGTATTAATTTGAGCCGTAAGTGCAAATTTAAAAAATTATATATATATATATATATATATATATATATGACATTTTTAAAATAATAATTATTTTAAAACCTTTTTTTATATAAAATTTTTTATGAATTTTTGTATAAAATTTTTTATATAAAAAAGGATTTTTTGAATAATTTTATATTTATAATTGTTATTTATATGTAAATTGTAAAACATTGAAAATACAATAGTATTTCGAGGTAACAATACAATAATATTTATAATATAAGGTAACGAACATAGTAATTAACAAGATTTGTCTTTTAGACGGTACTAACGGTGTATATGATATCGAGGAACTTGTTACATTGCTGGAGAGGGGACAAGGCGAAGAATATATTTGTTGCGTCAGTGCCAAAGGAATATGCTTATGTGGATTATATTGTTGTGGTGACTGGAAGATCGCAAAAGCATATGAGTGCCCTCGCCACCTTTGTGCGCAAAGTTTATAAACTGAAGAGACATCCGACTGATTAATACCCAAAATTGAAGGGGAGAATTCAAAAGATTGGCTAGCACTAGATTTAGGTAGATCAGTTCTTTCTAACTGAGAAAAAAAATATTGGCATGTATTTATCTCTTTTGTACAAATCTAATTTAAAACAATTTTCTGGATTTATTCTAAGTCGAAAAAATATACCTCGGGAGAAAATGAATTTATACATTCATACATATTTATATAATATTTTTTTATATATATTATAATTAATTTATATTATTTATAATTACATAATTATATGAAAAATAATCTCGAAAAGAGAATTGTAGTCAATAATGTTCAGAAAATGAATGTATAAGTAAACATATAGTAAGCTTTTAAATTAGTTGTTCTTTGAGTTGTTAATTATTCGAATGAATTTATATGTCATTATATGTTGTAGGAGGAAACATCGTTTTGCATATATTTTCTCACTCTGCGAGAGAGCATTATGATTGGAGACTTTGTGGACAGTTGGTACGCGATACGACGATAAGAGTAACGAATTACAGGAGTTAAATATTATGGATAAATATAATGCCTTCTTGGCTGAATTTCAACCGGCTGACAATGCTTGATGAGTCATCCATGTATGATGTAGAGTAAATAAAAAGTGATAAAATTAATAAGCAAGGTTTGGAGCCCAAATCTGCTTTAATACTTTAATTGATAATTAAGTAATTCTGACACTAAGTAAAATGCTGTACAAAGGAAGGAATCGCGAATATTAATTTTCATTAAAGATAATTAATATGAATAGAGATCAATAAAATTATTAAGAATTATGAGATAATTATTAAAATTATAAAATTAAGAAAATTATTAAGATAAAATGATTGAAAGCGATGATTTTCGAAATAAGTAATATAAATTGTAAATAATGCATATTTATTTGATTAATTGGGCAAAATTTGAGTATGTTGAAAACAACTGTTAAACACAAATGCTGACACAAAATATATATATATATATATATATATATATATATATATATTTATGTGTGTGTCAGCATTTGTGTTTAACGACCTCAGAAGTTTTGTTGGACATCATATTTATCACGATGACACGTATAGAGACTCGGTCAGTCTTTCGAACCATATCGTGGTAGATATAATGATTGTAATAAAATGTGTGTGAATATATTATATTCTTTCAACATCTTGTGTGCTGCTAGAGTATAATTTGTAATAATAATTAAAAAAAATATTGGGTCTGGGAAAAAGTCGTGGCGTTTTTTTAGGAAAATTTAACTGATTTTTTGTAGTGTGAAAATGAATTTATTTAAACCAAATATGTTCCATTATTATCGACAATGTTCGCCATTTTTCGGGTAGAGCCATGATGCCATCGGTGAAGAACTTCTGTGATTTCTGGTTGAAAAACTGAATCAAGTTGTTTCACAGGCTTCTTTGAAAGCAACTTAATTCCATTGAGAAAGTTCTGCAGAGATCGGAATAAGTGATAGTCAGAGGGTGCTATGTCTGGACTATACGGTGGATGCATCAAAACTTCCAAACCAAGCTCTCGCAATTTTTGACGGGTCATCAAAGAAGTGTGTGGTCGGGCGTTGTCATGATGGAAGACAACATCTTTCCTATTAATCAATTCGGGCCTTTTTCTTTCAATTGCCTGCGTAATCTTTCTAGTTGTTCACAGTAGAGTTGAGAATCAATCTCGGCGTCAATCTTGGCTTCGTGAACGTTGTGACGGCTCACCATCCCTTATCCACGATCTTTGACGCTTCCGATTGTCGTACGTGATCCATTTTTCATCACCGGTTATGACACGTTTCAGAAATGGCTCGATTTCATTGCGTTTCAGCAGCGCATCGCAGATGTTAATTCGGTCTATCATGTTTTTTGCGCTCAACTCATGAGGAACCCATACATCGAGCTTCTTTTTGTAGCCAGCTTTGTGTAAATGGTTCAAAACAGTTTTGTGGTCAATGCCTAGCTCCATACCATACCTATTACGTTTGATGATGATGCTCGAAACATTCAAATGTGGTGTAGAAACGAATCTGGATTTCACATAGAATTTGCAAAACATGTAGCTGAAAATATCACATTGTTGTTTAAAATAGAATGGAAACAACGTTCGAACAATATTCCGAAGGTGACTCATGTACAAAAAAACGAGTCTGAAAAGTATTGTGTTATTAGCATAAAATTTGGGCCAATGATAATTACGTACATTACAACAATATTTTTGGACTCGTTTTTTACAAGTGAGTACAAGTGCTTAAAATTATATTAAAAAAAATATAATTAATTAGTATGCAAAATATATAAATTATTAAATCATATGTATATCTTTTGTCTTTGTACTAAATGGTTCAAAAGTAAATAAAAGTAAAACAATTGTGCAAACAATATTTTAAGTAGTAAGAATTAAGTTTATTCGTATAATTCAAAAAGTTGAAGTTTATCATTCATAAAGGGGAAAGCTTTATGCTAAATCGTATCTCCTAATAAGGTAAATGTTAAAATTGTAATAAAGCTATAAAAAGAAATGACATTTTTTTATTAATTTAAAACTATAGTTCTTTATCCATGATATACATATTAACACAAAATCATTGTTTCATACTTAAATTAAAAAAAATATTATTGGTACAATTTATAATACTGATTTGCTAGATGATACCCACAAGTGTAATAGTTGATGAAATGTATAACATAGAAGATTATTTAACAATTATTACATAGAAAAGATTAAATTTAATAAATATTATTATAGAAAGCGAATGAAAAAGAAATATTGTGTTCTATCTTATTAATTTCTGAAATTAATTTTATATTTGTTTGTTTTGTTATATAAAGAATTATATAAAGTAGTATTATATAAAGAATATATTGATTTTATTGTGCAAATCTTTGTTTATATATATATATATATATATATATATATATATATATATATTAGGGTGGTCGTATATAGGTTTTTCAGAATTTTAATTTTTTCAGATTTTATTTTGAGTCCTGAGTCTCCCTGTTGGCATGTAATTTTATTAATAATTTTATTAATACCACAGTTCTGCAGCTGCTTCTGTCATCAATTTTGTTGTAAATAGTTTGAAATTTAGTGAAAAAAAGTTGAAACTATTTGAAAATACCGAAAATATAGTTATAATATAGTATATAATGAAAATAACGACGATTTAAAGTTCAAGGAAGATTCAAAAAATATAAAATACGTCGTTATATATTTGAAAAATGGATAAAAATAATTAACTGAATTACAAACACCCACGACTCGTGCGGAATAGCCCATATAATATTTATGACTATCTTTTATGAAAAATTAAATAATTTTGTTCACTACTTTTGCAGCTGACTCCATCTAGAACTGAAGTAAATATATAACAAATATACATATATATATATATATATATATATATATATATAATATGTATATTAAATTAATGCTACATAAATTTAGTATTTATATGCAGATTTGTTAATATACAGTAGAGCTTATTAAATTCTATCTATATTGCTATATAAGCGCGAATTAAATTGGTTTTATAGGATAGAATATAAACACATACATTTATAAATAAAAAGAAATAATTTTATATATAAGTATAAAGAAATGTTATATGCAGATATAATATATAATTAATACAATATATTTATAAAATAATGTAATATATAATTAACGCAATACAATAATAAAAATTATTTTTTTTTCCATATACAGGCGTTGGATTTATTTAAGCTGTTTTACATTAAAAATTGTAGGATTTTTCAAATGCTGAATTTGCAAGAAAATAACATATCTACAGCATTGTAATTTTAATTTAAAGATATTTTGTCTTGGCATAAATTAGAATTCCAGCATTCAGCAAAATTTGATACTTGCGTCAAATTTACAGTAAAATTCTGCGGCAAGTTTTTGAAGTAGCTAACATCTAAATATTCTAGTGGATTTAAACCCAGATGTACCTCCATCAATGACAATAATACCCTGCTTGTGAGAGATAAAGACTCTAAAGAAATAAACTTATTATCGTTCAAAATCAAATATTTTAAAGACATCAAAGACTCGCTCCATCCTTTCGGTAGAAAACTCAATTTGTTCTTCGAAAGATCTAATACTTCTAAAAACAAAAGTTGAGTAAACGCTTTAACATTAATCTCGACGATCTGATTCCCCGCCAAAAACAATTTTATCAATTTTGGCATTTGCGCAAAAGCATTCGCAGTTAAACTCTTAATATTGTTACAATTAAGAGACAAAGCGCTGATTTCACTTGAAATCTGCGGTACATCCTCGAACTTGTTGAAACTCAAATCGAGCCATCTCAAAGACTGCAAATTTTCAAATATATCTGGATGTAAGTAATTTATATTATTAATAGACAAGTTCAAATAAACCAATTTATCAGTGTACTTGAAAGCGTTTGATAAAATAAAATCAATTTTGTTTCCAGAAATAGAAAGATAATGCAGATTTTCTAAGCCATCCATTGCTAGGCCATAATCATACAGATCAAATTCACGTGATGAATGTTGATTAAATCCATAGAGTCGTTTATATTGATTATTCAGATTATACGAATCAAATGATTTATGAGTATTATTGTATTTTACATATTTCAAATTGTTGTTATTCAGGTATAATACTAACAAGTTTACTTGTTTCTTATCAAATGCCAATGAAGTGAGCGAGTTATTGTGGAGGTCAAGAAAGTACAAACTATTTGACAATAACTTTAGAAAGTTATTATTTCTTATATGGTTATTGGAAAGATCTAGAATCTTCAATTTTGGTAATGGAGTTTCTTTTATAGAAGTTTGCATGCTATTATATCATTTGCACAGAGAGATAAGATTTCTAAATTAGGATATTCTTTAGAAATATCAACTATAAATCGATGTGGATTATCATAATAATAATAGTCATAATTGGTCTTAGTTGCGTTGTTCAGAATAAGAACCCTCAAATTTTCATGACCCCCAAAGTTGAAGAGTTCATTCAATTTGATGTTGTTATTAGAAATAAACAGTTGACTTAAATTGGGAAGTTTGTCAAAGGCGCCATTCTGGATGCTCTGGATGTCAATATTCGTGAGGTTCAGACAAGTTATCAGAGGACTACTGATAAAATTCTGACCAATAGAAGTGATCACTGTGTTAGAAAAGTTTAAAGCAATATCATCCTCGCACTGATGTCCAAAGTCGCCATTTATATAATTGAGAATTTCCAAGAGTTGAATATTCTTGGCTGTTAATAGCGTGAACCAACAGACGAAAATAATGACCATAAAAGAAAACTTCATGTTGAATTCTCTGCAAAAATATAATAAAAATATTTTAAAAATATAGTAAAAAGTATGTGGTTTTAAATATAATATCTATTATTTTATTAAACAAAATTATATTAATATTAATTAATATCAATGATAAAAATTTGTATAATTATATAATTATGATAAAAATATAAGATTGTATAGATTATAGATCGATAAATTGTACAGAAAAATTGATATATAAGTTATTTAAAAAGCATAATAACAATAAAATTTTTGATAATTATTATAATGTGGATTTCAATATCTAAATAATCTATATTTCTTATCTAAATTTAATTACCTATATATTATAATATAGAAAACTGTACAATAATAATTACAGCACAAAAGTACAAAAATTATTTTTTCTTAATATGAAATATTGTTGTGCCTCTTTTTATAACAGAACAGAGGATAGTACCTTTTTTAAAGAGTTTATTTGCCGGCTAAGATGGAACTTCAGCTTCAGGCTCCACTTAGACTCTTTCGCACTTTTCTTTAAATTTTTTACAGCTTTATTTAATGTTTCACGTTAAAAATAACTAAGATTTTATATGCTGAGTACACTTATTTAACTTCACTCATGTTTCTTAGATTATTCTAATTTATTTCGACTTATTAGCAGCCTTTTCCTTTTATGTCTTGACGACTTGATTAGCGACTGCTCGACGTGCATCTGTCACCGGAGCTTCCGCTATCTTTGAGTTATTGTTAAAAAGATGCCTGGATCATGAGAGTCCGCAGGGGAAGGGAGATTTGCCACTCCCTCTGGAGTCAGCAAAAAATTTATCATTTGCTTTCCCTTGAATAAATGCTAGAATTTACTTGCACATTTAATATAAAAAAAAATAAAATAATAAAATAACAAAATTAAGTTTAAAAAAAATGTTGAAAGTCGCAAAGAAAATCTTTCTTGATATATCTACTTTGTCACACTGAGAAAGCTTTTACTAACAAAAGGTGTATAAATAAATAAATTATAAATATTCTAATTTTGCAAGTCACATTTTGAATAATATATATGTCCTCCTCTTCCCGATTTCTGGAAAAAATCTTGCAGACGCTTATCTGAATTCAAGTCAACATACACTATCACAGTCGAAATGCAAGCGAAGGAGATCCAAGTTCTTTGCTTACAATCTATCGGGTTCTCGCGCTCACTGCATTAAAATTTTTGCGAAAGACTAATATCTTTTTATTTATATAAAAATTCAATTATAGATTTTCGGGCTACAACATTAAATATAAAAAAAGTTTTATTTATATTAAATTTTCTCAAAATAATATGAAAATTAAACGCATACCATTTTTATAAAATGCTTTTTTATTGTTAATATAATTGCGATTATATTATTACAAGTTTAATAATCATTAAATGTAATAATACATATATATAATATAAAATCAGATTTATTGAATAAAAAAGTTTTGTTAAACAGTATCTAAACAATATTACGTCACCCACATAATTTGTTTATATATCTGTGCATTTATATGCAAATTTTTTTGCGTTATATCGCTTTTCACAGACTTTATAGACAGACTTTATAAATAGCTACTTAATTACAAATTGTTGATAGCTGAGAAAATGACTGACTTGTTTTTTGTTTTTATTATTATTATGGATATTTGAATTTGATTGGGATAAGAATAAAGAAATGATAAGCACTTACTTTAATTCAGTATATATTAATTATATTCATATAATAAAGTGTACATATTTTATTTGATGTATATATTTTATTGCTCTATTAATTAAAGAGAAACAAAAAAAAAAACAGATTTATTTTGTGTATACTTTGTTAAAAAAATTTGAAAAAAAATTAGAGATCAAGTTGCAGTAATATATTATAATTATCTCATTTCTATTTATTATATTTGCAACTTACGCAAATAAACATATACTTTTATATTGTTTATAAGATTTTTGATAATTTATAACTAAAATCCGGAAGAAAAAATGCTTAAATTTTTGAAAACACTTTAATCTCTTTATCATTTAAAATTATAGTACAAAGTATTTGAAGATATAATTTAATATAATTTAATATAATTTAATATAATTAATATACAATAATTTAATATAATTTATATATATTATAATTTTATATTGTATTTATTTATATTTTTTTATATGTGTACATTAATACATATATATATATATATATATATATATATATATATGTATATATATCAAGAGACACGGTAGTGTCTCGCGACCAGTTAAGGGCGTAGCGGAGACACCGTGTATCTTAACGCGAGTCGGACATTTGAGTCTTTATAATATTTCGAATCCTCAATAATGGCTGAAGCAATCGAGTTTATACTAGACTTAATCGATAGATTGAGTTCGAATTATATAATAAAAGTGTCTTTATTTCTGCTCTACGTGATTTGTAAGCAGAGATATATAAATGCAAAGTCGAAATATGAAAAATTTCTATTAAGAAACGTCCCCGTCATCATTATCATCATCATTATCATCATCATTATCATCATCGACCACGCATACATAGTAGTATCGTGCTACACGTATTCACACGTATACAACACATGCGCACACATATATCACACGTACACAACACATGCAAGATGCATGTAGTGGTAATTTTGTCCATCTCGCACGTTTTACAACAGATGGCGATAGTGGCGCTCCGCCATATCGGCAGCGTGCGGGGTTATGTTGGCTAACTCTCTCTCTCTCTCTCTCTCTCTCTCTCTCTCTCTCTCTCTCTCTCTCTCTTTCTCACACACACACGCACACACACACACACTCTCTCATTCTCACTCACTCACTCACTGTTCGTCTTGTGTACTTATTTAGTAAGTCATAATTTTTTATCAATTAAGTACTCTCAACTATCCAATAATTAAATAAATACGTACAAATGTGCGCGCGTGTACACACATACACCTATTGATATTAAAGAGATTGAAGGAGAGGAAGGAGAAGATAAAAATTTAAATATTCACATATATTTTCAAATATTATATATGAATTTATAGTTTACATATCTAATTAATAATGAATTTCTAATTATATTAAACATATCAAAATAAAGACATACATGTATTTATCAAATGAATAAAATTATTGAATACAGACTTAAAAAATTTATTAAACATAGACTTAAAAAATTAATTAATTAAACATATTCCAAATTTAGAAAAAATAAACTTTATTTATATATGCAACAGCTTTTTAAACTAAATTTTTAAATTCTATTTTATATTAGACAATTATCTCAATCAACATCTACGTCCACATTAGCTGCACTGCAGACTACCTCTACAGCCACATTATCTGCTCCGCGGATATAGCGTTATGCCAATACGATACATTACATGTACTTACTTACTTGCCTTTACTGTACCAACTCTTGTTCTTTCCACGTAATCATGTTTTTACAGTTATCGTTTGCTGTATATCTTCCAGCAAACTTTATTTCGTGTGAAGTGTATTTAATTAATTAAATCTCTGCGAAAGATTGAGAAGATGAAGGGATAATTCAAACTATGAAGACATGGTTACATGGAAAAGACAAGAGTTGATACAATAATAAAGACATACATGTATTTGTATCCTGCTGGCATAAGGTTATAGAAGTTGATTGAGATTGAAAAATAATAATGAAAATAATAAAAAAAATAAAGACACATGTATTTGTATCGTGCTGGCATAAAGTTATAAAAGTTGATTGAGATTGAAAAATAATAATAAAAATAATTAAAAAAAGGAAATATTCAATCATCATTTAAAAGCATATTTGAAATCTGTAGAATAAACAGTTTTTGCAAAAAATGTGGAGCATTTGAGCTCTAGTAAGTCTAAAAATAAATGTAAACATCAATTAATAATAACTGATGTTATATATATATTATATATATAAACCAATTTGTTGCAATATTCACTATAAAAGGTTGTAAGGGTAAGATGGCTAAAAGTGAATAATTTAAAAGATAGTTAACATAATTTTACATAAACTAAAATATTTCATAAAATAAAATATTTGTAATATTTCGAAGTTTATGTAAGATTATGTAGATACATAAAAATTATACCTTTACAACTTTTTAAAAAAATTTTAGTTAAAAAAACTGGGAGCGCTGCTAAATAATATTCTAACAATATTAAAATTAAATTGTTACTTTTAAACTCATTACAGTTAAAATATGTTTTTGTGTTTAAATTAATTAATGTTACTTTAAGGTGCATTGTAATTTTGAAACTTAGCAGCGCGCCAGTTTTTTTAACTAAAATTTTTTTATTTCTTTTTCACATGGCGCATGGACTTGGCATCTTGTTTATCTTTTTTTTTAAAAGATAAGTTTTTTTATGGTACGATTCTACATTTGCAAATTTAAATTTTTACTGATTCATTATACGACTCTATATATGTCTGCAACTTTAATTTTCCACTGGTACAAGTTTCTACTTTCACTTGGCGCAATTTTTTTTTTATTTCATTACTTTTGTTACGATTGTACATGGGTTTATAATCGATAATTTTCATACAATTCTATTGTACATGGGTTTGCAATGTAGGATTCTACATAAGTTTGCAATGGATAATTTTTAATACAATTCTACATGGGTTTGCAATGGTTATTTTTCATAGGATTCTACATGAGTTTGCAATGGTTAATTTTTCATAGGATTCTACATGAGTTTGCAATAGGTACGATTCTACATGGGTTTGCAATGGTTAATTTTGCCTAGGATTCTACATGGGTTTGCAATGATTAATTTTTCATAGGATTCTACATGGGTTTGCAATAGGATAGGATTCTACATGGGTTTGCAATGGATAATTTTTGTTAATGGCGTGCCCTTAACTGGTCGCCTTTTTTTACCTTTTTTAAAGGTGAGTTTTTAGAGATTATAGTTAATAGACCCAAGGAGAACAGAAGATCAAAATGATGTCAATTTGACGTCATATTGACTAAATATTGACCAAAAATGACATAAATTTAGTCAATATGACGTCAAATTGACATCATTTTGACTTTTCAATTCTCCTTGAAATTTTCCGTAAAAATATATTTTGTTAAACATATTCATAAATATTATATATTGTTTATGATAAAAAATTCCGCCTTTCAATTTTGACTTTTAGGGGCTGAATAGGAACCAGTAAAACTTCAAACTTTAATTTTATTTTATCGATCGGAATACTTTTATCGACTTTAAATACAAATGTTCGTATCAAAGTCGCTAGTATAACTTTCATGGAAATCATCGCAAACTTCATACCTAAAAGAATTTGTCACAATGTAAAATAAATTTTATAATTCACATATTAATGATATTAATTTATTAGTACCCACCTATGCAATTTCTAGGCCCGTTACTAAAAGGTATATAATAATCCGAGTAAGAGTTTCCCAATCTTTCGGGCAGGAATCTATCCGGATCGAACATTAATGGATTTGGCCAATGTTTTTCATTTCGGAGGACGTTTTGCAGTAATATGACTATAGTAGCATCTTTTGGCAACATAATCTCTCCTAAAACATAAATCTTGTTGTATAATTAGGCGTTATTAATGTAATAATGTATAATAGCAATGGAGTCCACATTATTCTACAAGACAAATCTATTTAGTCTTCAAAGTAATATTTCTTGTCAGAAACTGTAATAACATTTTTAAATTCTCTTAATCCATGTATTTTGTTATATTTTTGAAGCATTTTTTATTTTGGTGTTAAATATATTTTTTGTCTCTAAAATACTTGAGTATAATTTCTGTTAAATATTTAAAATGTTTATTTAAAATTGAAGCTAAGATGCGTTTTATACATTAAATAAAATTTATTAAATTTGAGTAAGTATTTATTTTAATACTATATAATAAATCATTTATTTGAAATTAGTAATATTGATGTGAAAAATATTTATTTGATAAGAAAATCTTTTTCAAAACAGATAAATATTTATTTGTTTCAAATCAATGATTTATTATAGGCAGTATTGAAATAAACATTTATTAATTTAACTATTTTTTTCAGTCACCACCTCTATTCTTCTGATTAGCTTGTAATTTACGATTAGGAAAATTTGATAAAAAATATTGTTTCGTTATTAAATGCACCTAATATGTTTTCTCTGTTTTTATTTTTTTTTAGTTTAATTATACTGATTTAATGAATAAGAAAATCGCGGATTTTAGTAAATAATGTATTGCAAATTATACACAATTTGTGTGTGTACGTGTGTGTGTATGTGTGTATTTGTGAACAAACCTAAACTTAAATCTTCGGTTAGTTGTCGTGCGATTAAAGGCACCGCAGGGAATAATCGCATCGTTTCCTTAATAACTCGATCCAAATAGTCCATAGACTGTAAATCTTCATATTTAATTGGTGCGACTTTCGGACTTTTCATGCCATAAATCCCCAACAATTCCTGATATGCCTTCTCCTTTTATGGAAATAAATGCTGATAAGTGTACGCAATATAATTAAGATCCAAAAATTAAGATTTGTAATTACACATATGTCCCATTTTTGTCGAGATAAAGAAATATTTTAAGCATAATTTTTTCGAAAAACGAATAAATGGAAAATTTTTTCCCAACATATTTCTCTGCGCAAAAAATGATTTTGACCGTTATTACGAATTTATTTTAATAAAAACTAAAAAAGTTTCTTTACAACATTTTTTAAATTAAAATATTTAAATTTATAATTTATAATTATTATGTACTTTCTATCAATAGTGATATTAATATCGAAAAATTATATTATAATACTTTTATATATTTTAGTATAAAAATATAAATTTTATGTATATGTGCATGTAAATGTATATACATATGTAATAATTATATACACATATATGTGTACAGAGGAAGGCCCCGTTAGCCTACAAATCAATGGCAACATTTTATCTGAATAATTTGTGTCGAATTTTTTTATATAATATATATATATATATATATATATATATATATTATTGCTTAAAATAAATCTTCAGTATTTTAAAACTCTAATAATATATGAAGTATATTCGATTTATAAAGCGAGAGAATCTTTGAATGAGTTTATCGAATGTACATACTTGGATCTTCGGAAAATTCGCTAACATGAAGATCATAAAATCCATCGTTATGGTGGTTGTGTCACTGGCCTAAAAAAATACAATTTGTATTCATTTATGTATACACTCGTGAAAAAAATTATCGCAACACGCAATTAGCATCAAAATTTCGCGTAAATTTAAATAAGCGTATTTTTTACACGAAAAATTATCGTATTTGAAAAAATTGTTTTTGTTTTCAAGAGTAAAGTCTTTATTTTAGAAACTTTCGTTTGATTTTAATTTTGTTCTTTCTCCCTCTCTTCATCCCGTTAAAAAGTAGTTTTTTTTTTTTTAAATTTGCAAAATTTGACGATTTCTATGGGGTGAAATAAATTTTTTTCGCAAATCTTATCCAAATTTTTGTAGAATATGTTCTTTTGCAATCAAATTTTGCAATTTTTTGAAAAAGAAACACCTTCCTTTTTAACGGAGTGAAGAGAGAGAAAGAGGATGAAATCAAAATCGAACGAAAGTTTCTTAGAGTAGAGTACTTCATCCTTTAAAACAAAAACAATTTTTCATATATGATAATTTTTCGTGAAATTTTGATTTTAATTGCAATAATTTTTTTTGACGAATGTATAACTATAACCATACGTATATAGAGACATCTTACATACCGCTGCTAACATCGTAAACACATTATCATGAATAACCTCTTCCGTGAATATTTCTTCGTTAGAGTTGTTCAAAAGCATGTCGCAAATTGCCCTGTCTATATTTACAGAAAAGAATATAAAATAGTATATATATTTATAAAAGAATATATATGTATAAAAAATTAAAATACATCTTTATATATTCTATTTATATTTTTTTATTTTTTTACACATTTTATAAATATTTTAAATATTAAAAAGATTAATATTTAAAGAAAGTTTAAAAGAAAAGAATTCTTAGTAAATGATTGCTTAGTAATAGATTGCTTTTCAGCAGCACGTTTTTTAACTGTAGCTCTAGATAAAATTTATTTTATTGCCACATGACAAATATAAATAATAATATCGTAATAATCACAAAGAAATCCAAATATGTAAAGAAAGAAATATTAATAAACTTACGAGTTGTTTTATTTATATCAGTCTCCGATTTATTTAATGCGTATCGTCGCTGCTGTATCAACTGCATAACAATATCATGTAGTTATAAAATGATAAACTTTCATGTGTCATAGAAATCTATAATATATGTAAATTAAAATATTGACAAATATATTCACAAAATACCTCATTCACGAAGGAATATTTGATATTTAAACACTTTTGATATTCACGTCCTAAACTTGTGCGTTTAAATATAACATTAGGATACAATAATAAATTCGTATATCTGCGGCTTACAATTTTTCTGCACCTAAAATGTTCTTCTTTAAATTTGGAATTTATAAGATAACAAATATGTACTTAGCTAATTGCGATAATTAAGTTTTCCGAATATAATTCGAGAAAAAAGACCTTTTTCTTATAATCTAAAATATTTAATAAATATATTCTGTAATCTAAAATATTTATTTATAATACAGAATTTTGAAAATTTTTCGAGAATGACAACAATGGCGATTTTTTAAAGTTTTACATCTTTACCCACGCACTCACAAATTTATTGACCGATTATCTCAAAATCAGTACCAAAATTTTCTAAATTTTTAGAAGATGGCTACTATATAATTTTAAAAAATTTTTACAATTTCATCCATCCACGCACTTCCTCATTAAATGGACCGATTCTCTCGAAATTGATACCAAAATTTTGCAAATTTTTCGAGAAGACAACAATGGCAATTTTTGAAGTTGTACACTCTCACACTTGCACTCACAAATTTATTGACCGATTTTCTCTAGATCGGTACAAAAATGTTCGAAATTTTTAGAGGATGGCTACTATAGTATATGATTTAAAAAATTTTTACAACCCTACCCACCCACTCACGTATCCACTCACGCATTTAAAAATTTATTGATTGATTTTTTCGCGAAATTTGTATTAAAAATTTACAAATTTTTGAGAATGGCGATGATGGTGAATTTTTAAGTTTTACACCACTCATCCACTCACCCACTCACGCACTCACACACTTATTGATCATTTTTTTCGAAATTAGTATCAAAACATTACTATCGTTGTCATTTCCGAAAAAATGTGTGTATGTATTTTTTAAAATATGTTATTTAAAATATGTATTTTTTAAAAATGATAATTTATATTAAAGAATTATGCAAATTAATAATAAGATCAGTGTTGGGTAAAGGCTTTAAAGCCCACGCAATAATTATGATTAATATTTAAAATTTTTTGAAATTATTTAAATAATGTTTAACAGAGATAAAGGTTTTGAGATCCGCGGAAAGCGCGGGCCGAAAAGATAGTATTTAA